GGACAGTCAAGGATTTGCACCCGAGCTGAAGGTTGAAATCGGAAGGGGTGGGAGGGCAGGGAGGGTGGGGTTAGGAGGGTGACTGAAGATGCATTCGAAGAGGAAGGTCTTGAAGGAGGAAAGTGGGGTGGGGTGAGGGTCTGTGGTTGGAGTTCCAAAGGGTGGAATAAACTCAGAGAGTTGTTAGTGTTTGGAATTTACAAATTCCACTGTGAATCGTTACTGCGGCCGGATCAATGGAACCAAATGAGCAGCTGAATAGTCAAAATATTAAAGAGCTGGAGATTGGAATTAATACAAATGGCGATATGGCACAGACACAGTGGGCTAAATGGCCTCCTGTGCAGAATAGGTTTGTTTCTATGAATTAAACCAATGTAAATTTATAGTCTTTTAAGCTGTCAGTTTTGCTAAGTTCCACATTGTTGGCAGCTTGGTATGTTTCTGAGCTTAATAAGAACTACGTTGCAGCCCTGGGCATACACAATTCAGTCGGACTGTTAGAACTAGTGTCGAGAGAGCTATAATTCCATCAATCATGTCTGGTTTAAAGCCAGTTTCCAGAGGTGAAAGGACGTGTGGAGAATACCATGCCATTCCCTTATATGGATGTGATCGAGTACACACTTGTACCCTGCCCAAAACCAAACCGAAGCATGAACAGACTGGATGACCTTCCATCATCGGAGGTTCACCATTGAATTCCAGGGTGAACTGCTCACTTCATTGTATTCACAACAGGGAAATCAGATGAAGAATACCCTTTGGCCCATTTGATCCAATCCAAACAGAATTCCAGTCTCTTTCCGGTAACCTATTTCACCTCTGTGTAAAGAAATAGTTTCCTGTGTCTGCCCCAAAACCTACCACCTGCTCACTTGACCCCATCACCACACCACTCCTGCCCACCCAGGTTCCCCTGCTAGCTGACATCATCAGCATTTCACTCTCCTCTGGCACAGTATCTCCCCCTTTCAAACTCGCCACTGTTGCCCCTTCCCCTCAAGAACCCTTCATGTGACCCCTCCAGCTTCTGATTCCTCTCCAACCTGCCCGTCCTCTCCAAAGTGCTGGAACAAGTCGTCGCCTCCCAGCTTCGCTCACCAAAACCAAGCCTCAACGCTGGGGCTTATTTTAATGCTTAGCCTTTTACGAAATGAACTCACTGATCCCACTAATGCTCCATTAACTCAGTGATGGACTAATAACCACAGATCTCTCAATACACAAGGCAGCCATTTGTGTGTCTAAAATGTTGTTCCTTCCTTCCTTGCCGCTAATTGCCTCCTCAATTTTTCTCCCCTCTCAAAGACCTTTTTTCCTTTAATTGGGGGTATCGTTGTCTCACTTATCTTGGCCAAGTGGCCATTATTCATCTGAGTGTTGACATACTGCTGAACTGTGAGGGTGCGTCGCAAGATCTCTCAACTCGTAGAGCAATTGCTCAACAATCTCTTAACTTAAAACTTCAGAATTATATTGAAGCCCATCACTGAAAATCAGCTCATCATTTTCACCCACAAAATATGCATTCAATTCACTTTACAGTATATTCTGTGAGGCGCTTTGAGACGTCTCGAAGACGTGATAAGGCGCTATATCAAATGCAACGATTATTATTATTATCATCTCTTGGGGTAAATTGATGGAGAAAGGGACCCAGTCAATTATTGGAATCCGCTGTCTCTTGCATTTCTCTTTAGAGGCGCCTCCCTCCATTTCATCTGACCCGTCAGTAACCTGTAAATAATATTATGTTTCTGGAAGGGAAATTCAAAAATACTGCTTGTGCGTCCTACACACGTTTCTCAAATAGGGCATCCAGCCCTCAGCAGCCAAAAGGTTGGACCACCGATGTAAGGGAACAGTTTCAGGTTGGGAACAGTTCCAGTTCTGACAAAGGGTCGTGGACCCGAAATGTTGACTCACTTTCCTATCTCCGTAGATGCTGCCTGACCTGCTGAGTGTTCCCAGTAACCTGTAACCTGATGTCGGACCTCCAGATTGCATGTTCAAAACTGGGCAGTTTGTTTTTCGATTGTTGGCGGACCAGATTGTCTCCCACGAGTCATTTTCAGCCAGAGAGGTTTTTGCGGGGAGTTGGTGTACTTCCTTCTCATTTAAGAGTAACTGCTAACGTCAGTTTATTTGGATTCAGTCTTTAGCGCGGTTCCTATGTGCCTAATTGAAATAATCTGCTATTCGAACCATAAGAGAAGTGCTTCCAGTAATAAGTAAATAGGGTCCAACCGCCAAGCTCTCAGCCAATCTCTGGTTTATATTTTAAGGGGTGATGCAATGTCATGGCTAGGAATGGGAGTGGTATCTGATGGTATCTTCGTGCATAGTACTGGGTGTAATGTACTGCACAATCTGAGATCCACAGATACGTGAGTTCAGAATAATTGTGGGCATTGTATTTTCTCTTCAACTATCACCATTGATAGCTTGCCATTGAGAGCACCGATTGACAACAGATCGTTTCTCTGAACTTTTTTAAAAAGATAATATGAGGGAAATTGCGGTAGTCCTCGTTGTTCTCTAGCTATGTGTGGGGGGAATGGGGTGGGGGCGCAGACTTCTTGCTCCTGACTGTTACTTTGTGCTCCTCTCAATTTGTTAGAAACTCTGTGTGTGTGTGTGTGTGAAGATGTCAAGGGAGGAAGTGATCAAACTTGGCTGTGATACCTCTCTCCCCGCATGACAAATAGTCCACAACACTCTGTCTAGCCACCCACGGGATAGCTGCCAACACAAGATCCAAGGAACTGTACTCTACTGTCAGTTGTTGGCTTCAGGACACGAGGGGAGAGAATTAGGACTAAAAAAGCTTAGCTTTGTTGTACATTAAAAAAAAATTCCTTGCATTCGATATAGCACCCACACGTCACGAGCGCCTCAAAGTGCTTTGTGGTATTTACTGTAAACTGTAGTGACTGTTTATTTTGTAGGTTTTGGAAAAATGTAGTGTAAACTTCAATAGGGATTTGCTCTGCTGTTTTGCCGTGAAAGTGACTGGACGCCACTTTGAGGATTGGAATGATTTCGAAGCGAGAATTGTACAGGGCTCGCGGTTTGATAATTCTCACCCTTAACGGGGAGAGTTCCGCTGGTGGTGAATGTCGATACGATTCGTTAAAAAAAGATTGAAGCCTGCGGCCAGCTCGCCAATAACATTTTTAAAACCTTGAGTGCCAATAGGAAAATTTCAACTTTTATTTGGTTAAAAGGTTTTGAATTTTGTTTCAAGAACTTTAATATTTCAAGAAATACATTTAATATGTACAATATATATTACAAGACAAGTTAGTGCCAATTCAATGCTGTTTCTGATTCGATTTTGCGAATACACACACGCAAAGTCTATTTCAAGGTCTACCTCCTATCTCCCGTGAAGCATTTTGAGATGTTCTGCTCAATCACAATACAATACAAATTTCAATTTATATAAGTCTTTCACGTTGGGAGGAAGTCCCAAAGCGCTTTAAACAATAATGGCTTGCACCCAAACTAGGGGTGGGAGCTGAAGGGGGTGGCAGGAGAAATATGACCAAAAGTGCAGTCGAAGAGGTAGATCTTGAAATGAACTGTGTGTGTGCGTTGGTGTGGTTGTGTACTTTGTGTGTGGTGTGTGTGTGCGTTATGGGTGTGCGTTTGTGTGTGTGTGTAGTGGGTGGTTGATTGTGTGTGAGTGTGGGTATTAAATGAATTCTGGCTCAAAAAAGAATCAGAAACGGCAGGGAATTGACCCAATCTGTGTAGTGGGATGATGAGTCACCTTTGCAAACTTTTAACACCAACACAGGGGAGTTTCACTTCTAATCTGCTTGAGTTTGTTCTGCATCTTAACGAGCGCACGGATGGTCACAGTGACCTACACCACGATCAGTGTGTCATTTGTTCCTGATGTGGTGACTCACCGAGATTTAAGCTCTCGTAACTTTCCTTCGGTCTCTTTTTGCCCACCCCAAACACACGCAAAAATCGTAACAAACGCTTTTTTATTAAATGATGGTTGTCCCTTTATAATGGATGAGCGTCTTTCTCCTGCTCGCGAGGTGTGATTCCACACTCCAGGACCGCAACCAAATGCTTTGACTGTGAATGTCGTAGGCCTGTACTCAACTATGAGAGGCGTCACAGCCGAGCCCGATCCTGCCCTCACCTGATCCGTTCTCACCCAACATCTGGAGTCCTTGTAGGAGAGATGATGGTTATTGATCAGGAGCAGCCTACTAAGAGCTCAGCTGAGATTAAATTTGGAAGCTCAGTGATCTGTCCGGCCTCGCTAATCATTGGATACATTTGCTGAACTACCAAAGGATTGAATGGTCTAAACTCTTAATTCTATTAAAATTCTTCTGCAATTGGTCCATCACTGTGTTGGATATTACTGCCATACAGGCTAAGGCTGTTCTAAGATCTTAAATATTATAATATAATAATAATCCTTGCATTTGATATGGGGCCTTATCGCGTCTCTGTTGTAAAACATGGGGCTCGATGTCATGAGGCCACGTTGAACTTCCCTTTTAAACAGCTGTGTGTAAAAGGTGACTCGGGTAAGCTCAGTGCAGTGCCATTCCTTGCCTGTGTGCTGGTCTGCCCAATTCGTGATGGAAACTGGAACGTTCACGCAGTGCAGTGTTTCCAGTGTCAGGATGGGGCCTCCAGTGGCTTTGAAACCTAACTTTTGAAGCCTAACTTGCACTATGTAATTACCAGCAATGCAAAACAAGGCAGTCGTCCAGGCGTGATTCTGTGAAGTGAATAGACCGTATATTATGTGGACAAAACGCAGCAATCAATTGCACACAGCAGTCCCACAAACAGTTGTGGATTGAGTAACCAAATTATTTTTTTTATTCCCCATCATGCAAGGAGACAATGCAGTCCTGCAGACCATTGGTCTTTGTAATTGGTTCTTTGTGCTTATTTTGAATACTGTATTAAACATCATTCTGGTGCTCACTCTCTACTGTTTTTCTTTCTCCCTCCAGACTTTTACTCATGAAAATGGCAGATGGAGTAGATGGCCTTATAGGTATCCCATTCCCTGATCACAGTAGTGATCTTCTCGGCAGTCTTAATGAACAGAGGAACTTTGGCTATCTGTGTGATGCCATTATCATAGTGGATGGCCAAGAATTCAGGACACATCGATCTGTCCTTGCAGCCTCCAGCCAGTACTTCAAAAAGCTCTTCACATCAGGGGCCTTTGTGGACCAACAGAATATTTATGAAATAGACTTCGTCACAGCAGAAGCTCTCTCAGCACTATTGGAGTTTGCCTACACAGCAACTCTGACTATAAGCACTTCGAATGTAAATGAGATATTAAATGCCGCGAGACTACTGGAGATCCAGTGTGTGAGCGAAGTCTGCCACGACCTCCTGGCATCAAATGCTCTGTCCAGTAAAGAGCTGGCGGATTATGTAGATCAAATTGATCCCAAAAACCTCCACCGAGCAAAAGAATATCTTGAGTACTTCCAAAGCAGCCCCGCCAATGGACACATGGTGGGCCAATGGACAGAACTTGAACTGGAAGAGATTCAAAGACTGCACTACAAGAATGGAGTCAGTGAGAGTCTGGCACAGAAAGAAGAAGGGATGGTGTATCCAGACACCATGTTGAACGACCAGCCCAAAGAAAACAGCGGCAGCACCAGGGACAAGCCTGTTTATTGGCTTGAGAGGGAACCGGTGATGGATCCTTCGTGTTCTCCTTCGCAGAATGGAGACTACAGTGGCTTCCAGGATGAAGAGGGGCTCTTGGACCATCCAGAACTCCTCGACCACCAAGAGCTCGGCATGCATTCACATTTTACTCCAAGTGACATCAAACAGGAGATGAACCTGGAAGAAGATGAAGCCCTCTCCTCCAGGGCTTTCCTCGAGCAAATCATTAACTCAGTAGACGCCTCGCACGGCAAAGTCAAAGACGAAAACGATCTCGAAAGTTACTTTAGTTTTTTCAGCCCCTCGCACGAGGGCGAGGTTTACCCATCTTGGTCCAAAAAGAGCGAGAAGAAAGTGAGGGCGAAGGCATTCCAGAAGTGCCCCATCTGTGGGAAGGTGATTCAGGGAGCAGGGAAACTGCCACGCCATATCCGGACTCACACAGGAGAGAAACCATACGAATGTAACATTTGTGCAGTCCGATTCACAAGGTAAGTCAATGATTGTTTGCTTCAAGGCAATCCTGGCAATCAACACAACAACAACAAAATTGGATTTATAGAGCGCCTGTCACGTCCCAAGGTGCTGGACAGTCAGAGGTCAGGACCCTAGCATGGGGGAGGGGTGGGGTAGGGGTGAGGGAAGGCAGAGAGGTGGGAGGGTGACTGAAGGCACGATCGAAGAAGAGAGTCTTGAGACCGGCCTTGAAGGAGGCAAGGGAGGAAGCGAGGCGAAGGGAGACTGTGGGATGGAGTTCCAGAGTGTGAGGGCAGAGAGGCTGAAAGCCCGGCCACTGATGGTAGGGAGTGTGGAAGACATGGAGCAGGCCGGAGCCCGCTGAACGGAGGGAGCGGGCAGGTTGGTTGTGAGTCAGCAGGTCAGAGAGGTAGGAAGGGGCAAGGCCAGGGATGGCCTTGAAAGTGAGCACGAGGATCTTGAATTCGATCCTGTGGGGAATGGGGAGCCAGTGGAGTCGGGCGAGGGTGGGAGTGATGGGGTCACGGAGCCTAGTGCAGGAGAGTACACGAGCTGCAGAGTTTTGGATGATCTGCAGCTTGTGAAAGGAAGAGTTGGGAAGGCTGATGAGGAGGGAATTTCCATAATCGAGCCTTGATGTGATGAATGTGTGGTTGAGGGTCTCGGTAGCCTGAGGGGTGAGGCAGTGGCGGAGTCTGGCAGTGTTGCGGAGGTGGTGGTAGGCAGTGCCGGTCATGGTGCGGATGTGGGTGAGAAAGGACAGTTCAGGGTCAAACAAGATACCCAGGTTCCTGACTGACTTAGTGAGGAACCTAGGTTAATCGCTGCTATTCAGGGTGTTTGAGTTTCAGAATACATTGAGCCAGTGGTGATGGAATGTTGGACTTGCTGTATCTGTCTCCATCCCAACAACAACAACTTGAAGTTATATATTGTCTCGTTTGCTTTTCACAATTACGAAAGATCAACAGAAAGAAACTATTTCTAGTGATTGGGCAGTCATAGAATCATAGAATTATACAGCACAGAAGGAGGACATTTGGCCCGTGGAGTCCTGTAGCTCAGTGGTTAGAGCACTCGCTTTGCAAGCGAGAGACCTGAGTTCAATTCCAGGCAGAGGGCGAAACCTTGGGCAAGTTTCCTTACTCCACACAGAGCCTAATAATAATCCCTCCAAAACAAAACAATAATAAATTGGTCATTTTCAATCCACGACTGTTTGTGGGACATTGCTGTGCGCAATTGGCTGCTGCGTTCGCCCACAAATATACAGTCAATTCACTTTACAGTATATTCTGTGAAGCTCTTTGGGACGTCTAGAAGATGTGAAAAGCGCTATATCAAATGCAAGGATTATTATTATCATGTCTGTGCCGGCACTTTGAAAATCAATCCCACTCCCCCGTGCTCTCCCTATAACCCTGCACAAACTTGTCCTCCCCAAATAATTATCTGCTCTCAAGACTCTCTGGAATTAGATAAACAGAGTGCTTCTCTCCAGGGAGAGAGAGAGCAAATTCCAATCCAACAATCTTATCTTAGGAATTTCCATGTGTAGGTGGGAATGCATGAAATTCTCCGTTTGGTTTGGATACTCTTAAGCATGGCGATGGGTTTCCAAAAGTGTCAGACACCCGGTTGACAAAAAAAAATACTGTTCGGGGAGTCAATATAGAGTGGCGTGAATTATCACTAACTAGGTGGGGCACAAATGGGGTGTAGAATGTTTTTTTGTGTGATCGGTATGCAGATCGTCCTACTGTAAAAGAATGTTGAAGCCAAATTCATTCATGAGTGCAATCAAGGGAAATTGGGTTAATATCTGAGAATTAACAATATTAAAGAGTATATCGAAAGAACCCGACAATGGGTTAAATGCAATTGGCTCCAGTTTGGGGGAGTTAGCGACTGCACAGAAGCGAGCACAAATAATACGACTAATAATAATCCCCAATGTATTAATTATAAAAAGATGCTCAATAAGGAGGAAAGAGCAGGGAAGTAGGACCGATTGGGCAGCTCATCCAAAGAGCCAGTATAGACACAATGGGCCAAATGGCCTCCTTCAGTGCTGTAATATTCTAATATTCTAGATAAACGTTACATTAGGAGTCCTTATTTTTAAAATTGTTTCAGGTTAGGGACCTGAATGCAAAAAACGCAAAAGGTTTACAATTGATTGTTCTGATGCAGAAGTCGTTCTCTTTTTACTGCATTCGGGTCCAAGATGTTTCTGCCTTTTACGCTAATGTTTTCATATTAATTGTCCAGTTCAGTCTGTTATTTCATAGAATCACAGAATCCTACAGCACAAAAAGAGGCCATTCGGCCCATCGAGTTTGAGCGGCTCTTTGAAAAGAGCAATGTAATGTCAGTCCCACTCCCCAGCCCTTTCCCCATGACCCCGCAAACCCGTCCTCCTCAAATACCCATCCACCGCGTTTTCAAAAGTAGTTACCGAATCGGCCTCGACCGCCCTTTCAGGCAATGCGTTCCAGATTCGACCAACTCGCTGCGTGAAGAAATTTCTTCTCACCTCTCCTCTGCTTCTTTTAGAGACTATTTTGAATCTGTGACCTCAAGTCACCGACACACCCACCAGTGGAAACAGTTTTTCCCTTTCTAACCTATCAAATCCCCTCATGATTTTGAAGACCTCTATTAGGTCCTCGTAACCTTCTCTGCTTCAATGAGAATAATCCTAACCTCTCCAGCCTTTCCTCATAATCAGGGTCCCTCGTTCCTGGTACCATCCTCGTAAATCTCCTCTGCGCCCTTTCCAATGCCTTAACATCCTTCCTATAGTGCGGTGCCCAGAACTGGGCACAGTATTCTAACTGAGGCCTAACCAGTGTTTATATCGGTTAATCATAACCTCCTGACTCTTGTACTCTATGCCCCTATTTATAAAGCCTAGTATCCCATATGCCCTTTTTACAGCCTTATCTACCTGTCCTGCCACCTTCAATGATTCATTTACCTGCACCCCCAGGTCTCTCTGTTCTTTTACCCCCTTAAGATTGTATTACCAGTCTGTATTGCTCCCCTCATTCTTTCTACCAAAATGCATTACTTCGCATTTCTCCACATTGACACTCATCTGCCATGTGTCGCCCATTTTACCATTCTGTCTATGTCTTCCTGCAGTTGGCTGCTCTCCTTCTCACTGTTTCCCACCCTACCTAACTTTGTGTCATCTGCAAACTTGGAAATGGTGTTTGCTATACCCAAGTCCAGATCATTTATGTATATTAAGAAGAGCAGTGGTCTTAATACCGATCCCTGGGGGACGCCACTGTACACTTCCCTCCAGTCAGAAAAGCAACCGTTCACCACAACTCTCTGCTTTCTGTCTCCCAGTCGGTTCTGGATCCGCTGCCACTGTCCCTTTTATACCATGGGCTTCTATCTTTCTTACAAGTCTTTCATGTGGCACTTTGTCAAATGCCTTTTGAAAGTCCATATAAACTACATCAACTGCACTACCTTTATCCCCTCTCCGTTACCTCATCGAAAAATTCTATTAGATTTGTTAGACAAGATTTGCCTTTAACAAATCCGTGTTGGCTGTCCCTAATTAACCCATATTCTTCTAAGTGAAGATTTATTCTGTCCCGGATTATAGTCTCCAGGAGTTTCCCCACTACTGATGTTAGGCACTGGCCTGGAGTTCCCAGGTTTGTCCTTCTGTCCCTTTTTGTACAGTCTCCAGTCACATTGGCCACTCTCCAGTCCTCGGGCACCACTCCTGTGTCCAACGAAGATTGAAAAATTGTAGCCAAAGCCTCCGCTATTTGTACCGGTGCCTCCCATAGTAACCTCGGCTGCATCCCGTCCAGACCGGGCGACTTATCACCTTCAGCACAGTCAACCTTTTCAGTACTTCCTCTCTGTTTATACTTATCCTATCCATTTCCTCTCCCCTCTCCTCCGATACTGCGGCATTTGGTGCATCCACTTCTTTTGTGAAGACAGATGCAAAGTACTCATTCAGCACATCAGCCGTGCCCTCTGCCTCCACAATAAGATTTCCCACTCGGTCCTTAATTGGCCCCACCCTACTCTGGCCTTTTTGCTTTGATATGTTTGTAAAATACTTTAGAATTTCCTTTAATGTTACCCGCTAACCTTTTTTCGTATAATCTTTTAGCCCCTCTTATTTCCTTTTTAAACCTCTTCTGCACTTCCTATATTCGATTTGGTTGTCTTCTGTATCTTGGGTTTGACATTTGTCATACGCCTCCTTTTTCTGCTTCATTTTAGATACAATTACCTTTGTCATCCAGGGAGGATTGTTTTACCCGCCAATCTTTCTTTCCAATCCACCTTGGCTAGGTCCCTTTTTAACTCACTGAAATTTGCGCTCTTCCAGTTGAATATCTTCACCTTAAATGGTTCCTTGTCTCTTTCCATATGTACTCTGAACCTAATGATGTTATGATCACTATTGCCCAGATGCTCTCACATTGAAACCTGCTCCACTTGCCCTACTTGATTCCCCATAACTAGATCTAGCACTGCTTCCTTCCTTGTTGGGATGGAAACGTACTGATAGGAATATTTCCCCCTCCTTTCCCTTTGAGCTGTTGTTTTGTCAGTCTATGTTGGGATAATTAAAGTCCCCCATTGTCACGACTCTATTGGCCTTGCATCTGTCTGAGATCTGCTTGCAGATCTGCTCATCTATTTCCTTCCCACTATTTGGTGGTCTATAGTACACCCCTACCAGCGTAACAGCTCCTTTTTTGTTCCTTAACTCTAATCAGATAGATTCCGTTTTGGGGCCCTCCAGCACCTCAACCCTTTCCACGGCTTTAACCGTATCTTTGACTAACATTGCCACAGCCCCTCCTTTTTTTCCTTCCCTATCCCTCCTGAATACATTGTAGTCAGGAATATTCAGCTCCCATTCCTGTCCTTGTTTGAGCCAAGTCTCTGTTACTGCTACTACATTGTATCCCCCTATGACCACTTGAGCTGCAGCTCACCAATCTTGTTTGCTAAACCAGAAATGGTCCCAATGATCCAGAAACTTGAAGCCCTCTTTTCTGAACCATTTCTCCAGCCAAGCATTCATATGCTTGATCCTGCCATTCAGGTACTTATTTGCCCGAGGTACAGGGAGCAATCCAGAGATCGCCACCTTGGATGTTCGATTCTTTAGTATCTTCCCCAGATTTTGATATTGACCCTGAAGAGTCTCAGCCCTTTTTTACCAATATCATGGATCCCCACCTGGACCACCACTTCTGGATGTTCTCCTTCCCCCTGAAGAATTTTATCCACCCTTTCTGCGATGTCTAAGACTGTTGCACCAGGGAGGCAACATACCATCCTTGACTCCGGTCTTTAAGAGCTTTTAGAGCTGGGCTTTTAGACTTTGAAGAGAGATAGTGGTCTTAACTCCAAAGTGCATATATACTGTGAACCGCTCGGATGTTAATGTTTCTGTTTTCCTTAAAACCTGCGAGTGTTTTAGCTCTTAAACTCCACTGTAAGAAAGGCCAGTGAAGAAGTATGTTGGGAGGTCAGTAATGAGTGGTGGGTCAGTAATCAGGTCAGTTCAGACCAGTTGCACAAATTGGATCGAGGAGGAAAAAACATTTGTTGACTAGTAAGAGCCACACAAGTGGAAATGGAATCTTGAGGTGCAAGAGATAGGAGGATTGTGCTGTAAGAGCAGCCACTGAATAATTATCGTAACCCATTGAGCAACTCATAGCCTTCAGATTTCCAGTGAGTGTGATTAGAAAAAAAAATTGGTCACTCGATCCACGGCTGTTTGTGGGACACTGCTGTGTGCAATTGGCTGCTGCGTTTCACCCACAAAATACACAGTCAATCCATTTTACAGCAATAATAATGATCCTTGCATTTGATATAGCGCCTTATCAAGTCTTTGAGAGCTTCTCAAAGCGCTTCACAGTGTAAAGTGAATTAATTGACTGTATATTTTGTGGGTGAAATATATTCAATATATTTTGTGAAGCACTTTGAGACGTCTCAACGATGTGATAAATGCAAGGACAGTATTATTATTGATAGATTATGCTCACTAACCGGGAATCATGGCAATTGCAGCACAGGAGGCAAATCGGGCCACCGAGCTTCAACTAGTGCCAACTCCATCACTGAAGCCAGCTGCCCAAACCCCAATTCTCTGCTCCTTCCACCCTTTTTATATCGTCTTCAAATATTTATTCAATTCCCTTTTTNCCCTCCTTTTCACTATCTATATGCTCCCTCTTGGTGACATTATCCGCCGACACGGGGTCAATTTCCACAGTATGCGGATGACACCCAACTCTCGCTCCCGTGTCCTCTCCCGCAACAGGCTCTGCAATCCTATCATCCCCATCCTCGCCCGATTCCACCGGCTTCCCATCACACAGAGGATACAGTTCAAGATCCTGGTCCTCACCTTCAAAGCCCTCCGTGGCCTTGTTCGCTTTTACCTCTGCGATCTTCTAACCCCCTACCAACCTGCCCGCTCCCTCCGCTCAGCGGGCTCAGGCTTGCTTCACGGCCCCCGACTTGCCCACCCCACCATTGGCGGGAGGGCCTTCTGCCACTGCCCCCACCCTCTGGAACTCCACCCTGCAATCCCTCCGCCTCACCGCCTCCTTCAAGACCCGTCTCAAGAAAGTCGCAACAAAGATAACAATGTGTTGGAACAAGTGTTTCAATAAATATCTTGCAAAAATTCAGATTTGTTTCAAAATGCACCAATGCCCCTGATCGCACTCAAGGATCACCAGAAACCGAACACTGCACCATCGTAACTTCCTGAGGAGCCCATATAACGTACCAGGAATGTGCTAAATGCTCCCAATTCAATTTCAGTTACTGAGTCACTGTCTCTTCGGTTTCTATTCCTCCCTTTCTCCTTGGAAGCTATTTTGAAGTACTATGCCCCTGGGGGTGGGGGGGGGGTGGGGCGCGAGTGTAATGTGGGTTCTCCTTGGAGCTGAACTGGTGCCTGGCAGCGGAATTTCGGAATCGAGCCTCTGTGGCGGTCTTCAATCCGGGTCCGCAGTATTCCAGGGCACTCGCTGCTGATCACAGCACAGCCCATCCTGGCTCATGGGCAGGACCTGGAAGGGCAGACCAGTCACAGTGGGGGGGGCAGGGAATCCTCCCACCCAGCCCGTGTTAACCCTGGAAGCCAAAGCCCTAACGGTCCTCGCTGGACAATCAATGGGAAAGCTTGCCAGACAGAAGCTACTGATGTGTGTTTGGTGGGTGAGAGCAAAACCCACACAATACCCAATATGGCTATTATGCACAAGTGCATCTTAAGAGTCCGTGATGGGAGGCTATTTTACTGGTGTGATGGGCATTGCAGCTGACCCTTATCCTGACGTGTACAGACACACACGCATGCACACGCCTGCAGTCGTGCCAATCAAATCGAAAAAGTTTGCGTGACAGAGAAGTTGAGCAAACAGAGACAGAAGTAACACACCGGGAAGAGTCCTAACGTAGTTTTTACAATTAAACGTTCTGTTATTTCCACCCGTAGAATTTAGTAATGTGTATGTCTGTCTGTGTCAAGTTCTGAATGCACTACTTGACCTCCGGTCAGTTGGTCAGTCTCCCTCCAACAAGCGACTGGCTGGTTGGTCATTCACATCGTGGCTATTTCTGGGAAGTTTGCTATGCACAAATTAGCTGGCACATTTGCTTTCAGAGTGCAGCCACGACACTGCACATAAAATACTGCAAAGCTCTTTCAGACACTTTCCTGACGTGAAATCGCTCTGGGACACTACCCTCCGCGAGGGGTGTTATATATATATATATATATATATATGCAAGTTGTTGTGTTAAAATGCAGATACTCAGCAAGGATTGTTATTGTCACTGCATGTTGAGGAAATACCTTTTTTTAAAAAAAAATCCCTCTCTGGCTATGCCTTCGGTATATTGACTATTTTGCCTGTGAAACCTTTTTTGCTACATCATGAATTCCAATTTTAAAGAGACTATTGTTTCCAGGAATTTGGGCACTTTCCCAGGCGCAGAGCAATGCTACATAGTCAAAGGGTTTGATTAACAGCTTTTTTTTTCTAAACACGAAGTGCATAATTATCTGGATTGAGATTAAACTTTATAGGTTTGAGTTCCGGTCTAATTGATCAAATACTGTATGGAACATCATGTTTCCTGTGTTGCTGGTACCACGCAATGCTTCTAGGAAGCACAATAGACTGAAGCAACTGAGAGTGTAGGATAAGCTGGCATTTTGTTCATTGATCATAATTATTATTATAATAATAATCCTTTGATATAGCGCCTTATCACATCGTTGAGACGGCTGAAAGGGCTTCACAGAATATATTGTAAAATGGATTGACTGTTTATTTTGTGGGTGAAATTATAATCCTTGGATTTGATAAATAGCACCTTATCACATCATCAAGGTATCTCAAAGCACTGCACGTGATTTTTACTGTAAAGTGTAGTGACTGTATTTTGTAGACAAATGCAGTAGCCAGTTTGCACACAGCAAATCCAACAAACAGCCATAAAGCGATTTACCAATTTTACTTTCATTGCGTTAGCTTTTTGCAGAAGATATGTAAAGAAGCGCAGACACATTTGGGGTTGAAGAGTGGATTTTGGATGTTTTGAGGAGCTGATGTTTTTAGGAACTACCCAGTTCCTAAAAGGACCTTGATTTAGCTACCCAGTTCCTAAAAGGTCAGCACATGCAAGAGTTTTTAAAGGGTCATTTTTAACCTGATTTAAGCAGCAACTGTGCAATGCTCAGTGCAATGCAGTGCTCAGCCAGTTGAACGTGATGAAGATTAGTTCACAGAGCGGAGTCCTGTAGCTTAGTGGTTAGAGCACTCGCCTTACTCCTTAAGTTTCCTTAGTAAGTTTCCTTTCTCCACACACCTTTGTTTACCTAGCAGTAAGTATGAACCCAGTTGTTAGTCGATTGGCGGATCGCTTTTCTGGGGGTGATAATTCCTTCCAAAAAAATTGGTCACTCAATCCACAAGTGTTTGTGGGACACTGCTATGGCAAATTAACTGCCATGTTTCACCCACAAGGTAAACAGTCAATTCACATTACAGTATACCCTGTGAAGCACTTTTGAGACGTCTCGGAGACGAGATAAGGCGCTACATCAAATGCAAGGATTGTTATTATTACCATGCAAATCAGGCTTCACTCCACATTGCTGGCAGTCACGCAGTTTCCCCGCCAGTAATACAAACAAGACGGGGAGAAACCTGGCAGTACTTTTGTTCAGAGAGATGAAGTAGGTGGGGATCCTGAACAGACCCGTTGTGCGAGCTTTGCAGTCTTTTTGGTTCAACTTCCCCGTGTCGAATAACATTTCTAACCTGTTCCTCTGCTTTGTGTTTGTAATGTTAGACAGGACAAATTAAAAGTTCACATGAGGAAGCACACAGGGGAGAAGCCCTACACGTGTCTGGAGTGCGGAGCCGCCTTCGCCCACAACTACGACCTGAAGAATCACATGCGCGTTCACACCGGTCTACGCCCTTACCAGTGTGACAGCTGTTTCAAGACCTTTGTCCGCTCGGACCATCTTCACAGGCACCTTAAAAAGGACGGCTGCAACGGCACCCCCTCCACAAGGGGACGTAAGCCTCGGGTGAGGGACATCGCTATGTCAGTGTCTGGAACCTCAAGCGACCCTGGTTGCAGAGAGGCCGACACGGAAGGGGCGATTGACGCAAGCATGGAGCTGGAAGACAATGGCAACCCAAAGCACTTTGAAGATCCATCCCAAGAAGATTGTTTCAAGATTTTGGAGAACGACGAGCCTGAAAGGCTGAATGTAGATGAGGATTTGATCAATGTTAGCAAACAGGAGCTGTGCAAAAGCTAAACCAAATCATGGAAAAGTGTGGGTGGGGGGGGCAGGGGGTCGGGGAGGGGGAGAGAAGCGGGGGCAGGGGAAAAAGGGGCACAAACCTTCTATTAGTAGTTCCTCATCCTTTTTAAATGGAAATGGGCGAGAAGGAATTTTTTTTCTACTTTAATGTCAGAAATTGCTTGGTAGTCCAGTTGCTAGACTTCTTGTTTTACACAGTTTAGACAAAGGAAATCACTGCTAGAATCTTAAGGAGTTGACCAATTCTGTGCTTCTCAGGCACAGACACTCCTGAGTATTGATGCACATAACGCAGACCCTTGGTTGTCTATTGAGTTGGGGGGAGGTCTGGGGGCTGAAGGGGATTGTTCTGCAGTACAAAGTCAGATGCTTGCTGACTCCATGAAGTGATAAATGTATTGACGGACAAGCGGGATACAGGTACTAACCCAACCATCGCCACGGAAACTCAAATTGATGTTGGTCAACTACTAATTTTAATTAGGAGGCAATGTTCAATTATGTTTTTTTTTAAATTCATAGTTTGGTGCAAAGTTGCTTTTATTTTCTATGTACAGAACCTATTCACAGCTAAATACAGTACAAAATGCAGGGCAGAAAAAGATTGATTACAGCAAACCGCAAATTCCGTAGAATTTTAAGTCGATATAGTTTCAGATTCAGGTTGAATAATATTTTTTTTAAAAAAACACAACCTTTTTTGCTGTTTTCTTGCAGACTGGTTGCGTAAACCTAATGATTGAGCTGTTTTCGAAAGAGAGTTTACTTCGCATAGAGCGCGCGTGTGTGTGTGTGTGCGTGCGTGTGTGCGTGTGGCACTCGTGAGTTTGAAAAGATTCAGGAGCGAGACGGTATGGGAAGGGCGAACACCTTTTCAGGTTAGCAATAAATTTGGAAGGCATGGCACTTTTATACAGAGGGTTCAGTCCATAACTTGACCAGGATTCTCTGTAAAAATGTTTACAAATGATATCCCTAATCAATCAAATATGGAGAAAGGGAAAAGGGTGAGAAAACTACTAATTTTGTATCATAATTATATAGACCCTCTAAGCTCATTGCACTTATAGGCCAGAGTAGGTTTGGGCTGCAATTGTACAAGGCTCTTACCCAATGTTGATCATTTTAGTCCATATGTGACTGTACGGGGAAGGAGCGAGCTGGAGAAATCACTGCTGGGAGCCTTAACGTATGTGGATTACAGTTTTGTTGTAAATTATGGATTTGTTCCCTGGTAGCAAAATCCATCAACTCCCACCTACAGACAACTTAGCCAGGTGCGCTGTGCTGTTGTGAGGAAGGATGGAAGCCAGGAGGAGAAAAACCTTCATTCCAAATCAATAGTGAGTACTTTTTGTCAGGCAACCCGTAGCACACAGTAGTCTTGTCTCACGTCCTTCATTTGCAGTTAACTACCATGGGTCAGGTTCTAACAAATCCTCTTGCTTGACGTAAAATCCTAGGTACATTTTGACCTTAAACGGGGAACACCCGGGTATGAAATGTCTGGTCATTACCCACTTCCCTCTTCGTAATACATTGTACCTTTGGGGGGAGGTGGGGGGGGATGTCAGATTGCTATAATTAGTCCAGTCTGTGTTTAAAGAACCGCCAAGCTCACGCCTTGAGTAACCTCTGCTGCCATCTGACTTGGTGCGTGCTGTGGAACATCAGAGACGTTCGGCTCGGCCTGAAATTGTACTTCCACTCCTCCAGACTAGATTGTCCAAAGCTACTGAACCATTGCACAATCTTGTCTGGGAGAGTCCGCCGTCCACTCTTTGACAGCAGGCGTTTTATTTTTCGGAGATCGGTAGACATTTAGAAGACAGCCGAAACATACTATATCAAAGCTCTGTATATCAGGCAACACTATGCTTAGAGTTGAAACCAAGGTGGAGACTAAAGTTCCCACTCTCTCCACGTGCTATCCAAGGAATAGCTTCCCTTCTACAGTACATCTGCCTATTACAGCCATGTCAGGAATCTTAACCCACACACCACAATATCCTCACCAGCTGGAGCTGTGTGCCTGTCACCTCCATCCATTCCCATTCCCATATGGAGAATCATAACAACATTGGATGCATCTCTCTGGCTAACAAGTCCTAGTGTGGGTGTGTAAATAATATATATTTCGCTTAAAAAAAAATTTTATTTAACGGAACGACCTTCTTTTTGATAACTGTGGGGCAAGATGTGTGTTTTGGCGCTGTGCGGAAAGGGGCAGAAATGGGAGCTTAGAGGGTAAATAAAGCAGATGAGATACCACTACAGATAACATTTTACCACATTCCTTATTTTTTGCACTAAAAAAGAAATCTTCAACGTGCGCAAACAGGCACCATTCGAGAGAGAGAGAGAGAGAGAGAATACATTGTTATTGTACGTGTCTGGTTAATTGAGTAGTTCAAAGTCAAAATACCGATTCAGTCAGGTGGAAAAAAAAATATATATAAAACCTATATATTATATCAAATGTGTGTTCAGAGGAGTGATGTATTACACACATCATAAGCCCTCGTTTTGGGAATTGTACAAAAACATTTTAATATATATAAATAATGGTTTCTCTATTAAATATGATTTCTCTATTGTAGAGGGAGCTGTAAGAAATACCCTCACTGGAGGAGGTGGGTGTGTCGGAGAGTATGCCAGAGAGAAGGCTCGTGTATTTGTGCAGATTGTTAACTTCTCGTATCCAATCGATGAATGTGATAAAGTGTTGTTTAAATTGAACGTCAGAGACTTGGAAATCTCATGAAACACAACATTAGCCCAACGTGTAGATTGTGAGAGGTTGGGAGAGTTGGAGAGTAAGATTCTCCACCAAACTTAAGACTTCTGTAGGAAGGTATTGGTTAGCTTAATCTGGACTTTTACACAACCCAGTCACTGACCTTATTGAAACCAATTATTTTCAATCTCATCCACTGGCGCTTGGCTGTGCTTTTACGCAGAGGAGAATTGGGTCAATAGGTTTCAAAGGTCTCATCATGTCGGCTTGATTGGGGAAGGGGAACTTTTTCACAACCACTTTGTGCTTCAAAAAGAGCTGTTTCTACCATCCCCAACCCACTCACCCCTCCCCTTTATTTATATACCCCTTTATTTAAATTTTCTTCCATTTCTCGAGTCTGTCACTGTGGTCCAATACCACACTTCCTCTTTCGTTCCCTCTACATCCTGTTTATTAGAGTTACATTTTGCCTCTTGTTGAATCAAACTCTCCCATTAACCAGCTCTTTCACACCCTTGGTCATCAGATCGGCAGGATCCAGTTGTTGAAATTCGAGCACATGTTAGTCAGTCCAGTGGATTTCTCATCCTTTTTCTCATCACTTCCCTCCCTCTGCCCCCCCCCCCCCCCCCCCCCACAAAGTCGCTGTAACCATGTACCATTCAACTGTACGGCAAGTGAAATCGGAGTGTAACTTACATATCTGGGAACGTATGTGTGTAACGGCTCACTTCACAGTACATCTCTTTTCTCCCCTTTATCTCCGGGAATCAACTTCCTTCCAAAATCCACCAGTGGCGATTCCACATCATGTGCAAAGTGCTTGAGGAGTGGCTTGAGAAGCAGTGAGACCAGGAGGAACCAGAGCTGATTTGAACTCAGCAACACACTCCTGGAGTGTTTGTGGGTGTGTTTTTTTTTAAAAAAAATATTGTGTCGCTTCCTCCTCCCATCTTTTGCAGGACGATCTGGGATGTGGATTTTCTTTTTACTAATCCTATTTAAAGGCAGTCAGCCATCAGGAACCATACTTGTGATGGGGAGGTGGTGGCGGGGGAGAGAGAGGGGGGAGACAGCACATTATCGTCCCATCTACGAGTGGGAGATTAAAATGAGAAGCGTAGCACCCTACAGAGGCCAGACCCAAATCCCAGTAACTGACACAATATCAATCAAGTGTGGCCCAAAAAATTTCCTTTTAAGACAAATACAGTCAGTGTTTGATTAGAACACATCAGCAATTTGGTTCGTTGCTTCCCATTAGATTGATTGTAAAGAACATAATCGATACGATTTTGCCCTGTTAGGGCTGTTCAAGGTTTTCCAGAATTATACAAAAACAGCAATTTGCATTTGTTATAAAATGCTTATCAAATAAAGGCAACATTTTTATTTTAAAAAAATCTCGATACACCTGTGTGTTTAAAAAAAAACAACTCCTTTGAAGGATGAGATCATAATCTGTGACTTGTGACCTTGTAAATCATTACTTTTTAACTTTTTTTAAACATATTCTTGGACTCCTCATACAGTACTCAGAAGTAGGCAGCCCAGTGGGATAGACCAGCTGATTTTGATGAGGTGAAATTCTCTTCTGTCCGTGGCTGAAAGGTTATTTCCAATGCTTTTCTAAATTGTGATATAAATTTAGGTTCCGTCCACCTTGGGACTGGGGTGCGGTTAAAAGGACCACATGCCCCTCCTCACACACACACACCACACACACACACAAATACACAATACACCACTTCACAAAAACCCTCTAGAAAGGGCTTTGATGCTATAGGCACATTATCAAATGCAAGACTTATTATTCCAAAGTGGAGTATTTAAAAATTCTAATTAATTTGACTACTATTATGATAGTTGATGGGATGTTGCTGCCATATTTGCCTATATAACAACATTCACTTCACGTCTTTTAATCAATATTACTTTGCAAAGGCCTTCGAAACACTTGTGTGTAAAAGACGCTATCTAAACTCAAGTTATTTGCTTGTTACCATTATATCTTAAGAGTACTGTATGAAATGAGATTGCACCAAACACTAAAATGTGGGTTACAATCGCAATTACGACCCTAATTACACATACCAAAATCATCCTATATTAAGCAACATTCCATCCGTGTAGCCAACAACTCGCCCCGTATGGACCAAGTGGACAAAACCTTGAAGGTTCAAACAAAAAACATTTTAATTCCAAATGGTGTTGAGCAGGTTACATTGGTTGACGAGTATTTCACAGCTGAAGGTGGTTGCCTTAAATGACCAAGTTCAGAACTAAATGCA